CTGAGAGCTCTACTTCAAATATCCTTCCTGCTTTCTCTAAGAAATTACTCAGTTGATCTCTTCAAATCTTTCAGACCACCGAAAGATAGCATTTCATTTTGAGAGCTCTAGTCAAAGGCACTTTGGGGCCAATGTCAAAAGACAAAACTTTATGTCAGTGCAAAAATCTCCGTGCAATGCCTACATTTTTTTTTTGATGTGAAGGCTGGGACTTCTGAAGAAAAGTGGGTAGAAAGGAGAGGTGATTCAATAATTCATAGGACCATCAATTCATCCAGCCAGAATATGTCAAGTAGCAGGTTGGAGATCGACAAATTTCCCTTGAACTTTTTGTTAACTGGTAATCCCATACTTTTATTTATTATTAAATTTCTATGCCACCCAACTTTCCAAACCACTAATTGCTTTGTCTTGGCCATAAAGACTTCAAACATACTAGAACATCCTTTATTATGAGTATCACTGTCACAGGTGGTAAGAAACCTCTATCTAGGGGTTGTCCAAACCTTTCCAGGCCAGATCCAGTAGTCCTACTATTTGCCTCATGTTGTTGAACACCTGGCACTTCCTTAGCTAAGCAGACAACAGCCGTCATACAGAGCACACTATGTCCCTGCTAAAGACATTTAAGCATATAAAAGAGCTAACTGTACACCACACAAGCCTATTTAGTCCTTTCATAGAATAACAGAGTTGGAAGGGACCTTGGAGGTCATCTAGTCCAACCTCCTGCTCAAGTAGGAGACCCTATTTAATTTCAAAGAAATGGCTGTCCAGTCTCTTCTTAAAAGCCTCCAGTGATGAAGGCAAGCCATTCCACTGGTTGATTGTTCTCAACCCTTAGGAAATTTCTCCTAGGTTCTAGGTTGCTTCTTCCCTTGATTAGTTTCCATCCATTGTTTCTTGCTTTGCCTTGTGATGCTTTGGAAAGTAGGTTGATCTCCCTCATCTTTCTGGCAGCCCCTCAAATATTGGAATAGTGCTATCATGTCACCCCTAGTCCTTCTTTTCATTAGACTACATATAGCCAATTCTTGTAAGCATTCTCTGTATGTTTTAGCCTCCAGTCCCCCAGTCATCCTTGTTGCTTTTCTATGTACTGTTTCTCAACATCTTGCTCATATTGTGGCGACCAAAACTGGATGCAGTTTGGGATATTAGTGCCCAGTATGACATTATAACATATCCTTTGCAGCAGGAAAGAGATCCTTCCTGTGGTTCAATGTTTTCCCTACTGTATTTGTTAGCATATTTGGTACTCTTGAGACTGGGCATGAGAACAAGCCTAACAGACTTTAGGTTTCATAAAAGAAAAAAAATGACATTCTACGGTAGCAATAGATGTGAAAAGGAAAACAATAAACTGGAAAGATAGAAAACCACAGAATTTCTGAGATTAGTTTCAGCTTCCTACTTTCTTCTCTCCTGGAAAGTCACTTTCCTCAAGGATTTGCTTTGTGGACTGTAAGATGCCTTTCCTGATGCTGCCGATCTCAGAATGCATGTGATCCATCTCTTTTTTAAGACCCTGAATTTCATGGAATTGTTCTTCAAGCAGATGTTGTGATTTCCTTGGAATAAAGGGGGAAAAACTGATTGTCAGGATTATATACAGGCTGCAAAACTCTGAATTTTTTTTAAATGGCAGCAAAAGGATACAAACCATACTACTGTTACTGCCATCTAGTGTTGCCCAGATCTTTGCAGCAGACTAATGTAAGTACAGGTTCATTTAGTGATGGTTCGAAGTTACAACGGCACTGAAAAAAGTGACTTATGACCATTTCTCACACTTACAACCATTGCAGCATTCCCATGGTCACGTGATCAAAATTCTGATGCTTGGCAACTGACTCATATTTATGGCAGTTGCAGTGTCCCAGTGTTCTGTGATCCCCTTTTTGCAACATTTTGACAAGCATAGTCAATAGGGAATCCAGATTCACTTAACAACTGTGTTACTAACTTAACAAACTGCAGTGTTTCACTGAACAAGTATAGCAAGATAATCATAAAATGGGGCAAAATTCACTTAACAAATGTCTCGCTTAACAACAAAAATTTTGGGTTCAATTGTGGTCGTAGGTTGAGGACTGCCTGTAATCATAACTGTTTGCCAGACCATTCCTGGGCCTGCAATGCACCAGCCTATTATTGTGGGTACATAAGCCAGGACATTAAGGCATTTTTCCTGAATCTGAAGGATGCTAGGTTCAGGAAAGTGTAATATTAAGCATGCCTGAATCCAATACCTTAAACATAGGTACTCAGGAATTAATCTTATTGAACTCAGTGGAACTTAGCCTTTCAAAGAAAGAGACATAGGATTCCAGTTTAAATATTTTATCCCAGGGACAAAAGAATTGTGTACTGTGATCTCTAACCAAAAGCAAATGCATAGTTGTTCAGAGAAGTCTTTCAATGTGTTTTCAGCCTTAAGATTTCCTCCAAAGTTTCCAGCAAGGGATAAGAATTCATTCAAACCAAGGATGGGATTGGTCAGCCTACTGTTTTAATCCTAATGCACATGAGGGTTGAGGCCAAAACTCTTAGACCAGGGCATGGCTGACTGGGGAATTCTGGGAGTTGAAGTCTGAAAGTTGCCAAGGTTGGACAGGCCTGTCCTGGATGGCTCCTGCTTGTCTAAGCCTGGCTGGATACTGCTGCATTTAAATAAGCCACATTCCCACTGAGATTTGTACAGCTCCCATCCTGACCTTATTTATACAAACCATAAACCATGACTTTTCTTCTATATCTTAGGTTTGAAGGAAGAAGAGACCTCGTTGTGGAGTTTTGGTTTATTATTGGATGAGGATCTCCAGACTTTTTTTTTTTTTAAAAGCTTAGGTACATTCTTCTTTTTACTATTGTATTTTGAAAACTGCCCAGAGTCATGATAGATTGAAGCATCTTATAAATTTAATTAATGAGTAAAGTCTTTTTCTTTAAGATATTTTGGAGGGATGTGGAATAGCCTTACCAGAGTTCATTCAGCTCAGTTTCATACACTTTTGTAAGTTCCTATTGGAAGGAAAATAAACATATGATCCAACTTTAATATAAACAGTCAAACAATTTATAACATGCAGACCCCACCATAATTAACCATAATCTATGACCATTTTAGAAAAATATATATACTTAACTTCAATTCCATACTTACCCAGCCAGAAGTATGTAGCAGATTACAATATTATCATACTTATTACAGATAGTCTTTCTTCATTTAGTGATTGCCTCAGATAGTGACAATTTACAATCACAATGATGATGAAAAAGTAACTTTGGGACCAATACCCATATTTATCTTTGCAACATCATTTGGTTACATGTTCACACTGCCTTTTGCTTATCCCATACCCCCTCATGGAGCCAAGAGATTTTTATTTGTGTTTGCTTGTTTGTATCCCATTTTTCATTATTTTTAACAAATAACCCATTGCGGTAAACATATCCAACGCACCTTCTTCCTTTTATTTTTTCCACAATGACAACCTTGTGAAGTGAGTTAGGCTGAAAGAGGGTGACTGGCCCAAGGTCACCCTGCTGGCTTTCATGGTTAAGGCAGGACTAGAACTCACAGACTCCTGGTTTCTAAACCAGCACTTTAATCTCTATACCAAACTCAAGCAAGCTATCACTTCCTGAACTTTTTGTTTGTGTAGCAGTGCTTTCTCCAAAACTGCTGAGAACAACTTAACAAGCTTAGCTGTGTAACCTTAATTAGTTGATTACAGCCTACTGGCAACTGCTACCTGGAACTGACGAAATCCTAATTAGTTTCACCCTGAAGGCACATGCCTACTAAGAAGCTAGCAGCTACACTTCTTTCAATGTGTATTCCTCATTGTGTGCCTGCTCACTGTCCAATGAATGTAAATACAAACATTAATTCCCTTCTTTCTAATTATTCCAGTGCCAGGATGAGCATTTCAAATGGTGGAGAATAGGGGAAAAGAGGTATATGATTTGGCCTTTTCCCCAGGTTTTTTCATAACTTGAGTTCCCAACTCCTTCCACACTGTTTGAGCTCACACAGCTGTTTGGGGTTGTATCCTTCTGTTGCTGTAAAGCAGGGGTGTCAAACTGCCGGCCCATGGGCCGGTTGCATCATATAGAGGCTGCACCCACCCCAGCTCCAGCAATGGAAAAAAAGTCACGATATGTCACAACACGTCATCTGACACGGCGAGTTTGACACCCGTGCTGTAAAACAAGGGAAAGCTGAAGTAAAATAATAAGCAGAATTGTGGTCATGTGATTTTTTTCACTTAGTGGCAGCTTTGCTGAACAACCAACTTGTAGTTTGCCAATTGCAGTCACTAAACAAGGACCACCCATTATTGGAGAATGCTAAAGTAGAGGAGCCAGCATTGCTATCTGAGCCATTATTTTATTTTTTTAAAAAAGGAAATCCAGGTTTTAACTGTCATATCCATGATGCCAGATTAATATTGTCCCCAGTCCAATATATACACAAATTCACTTGCTGTCTTCCAGATACAACATCTCTGGCAGCCGCAAAATCCAAGAAAGTAAATGTGAACAGCACCTCCATTATAATGGCCTCATTATTCAGCAAGGGCTTGTTTCCGTTGAGAATCACTACTAAGGAAGGCTCTTTATGTGTGGCAGCCATTTTGTTTTGAGGCCCACTGCATGCTTCCCAAATTCTCCATGAGTTGCCCAGTCTGGCCCAAAACCATTTTGATTACTTCCATTTCTGTCTATTATGTGGAATGGTATTTACCTTTGATGATAGGCCATCTGATAATTGCAGATATTGACAAATGCAGTAAACAGTACCTGTAAGAAATAAGCAAAAATGGGAAATGTTTGTACAATTAACTCTACAAATGCCTTTTAACTTGAAGTTTCATGTCCAAGAAATTGCTAAAGTTGCACAGAGTCAGCCTGGTTATTTCACACAGAGGGAATTGCCCAAGTGCAGATTCATAGACTCACCTTTTCACATTGCAAGTCCAATTTGAAATTACATGACTCTCACCTAGAATCTTTTAATTGGGATTTATTACAGAACAACTTTCAGCTCAGCCTTGGAATCTAGTTTAGTAAATATAAAATCTCCTTTGATCCAATCTAGGTCAGTCACTGGGTCCAAAGGTTTACTCTTCCAAATTTTCGGACTTGTATTGGAGACCATATTCAGGGAACTTTTCTCTACTGGAATCTCCTTTGAGTTATGTTTAATGGCTATTAACCATGGATATGTCCATGCACTTTTCTTAGTACAGATAGTTCTCGACTTACAACAGTTCATTTAATAACCATTCAAAGTTACAACAGCACTGGAAAAAAGTGGCTTATGACTGTTATTCACACTTATGACTGTTGCAGCATTCCCCTGGTCACATGATCAAAATTCAGACACTTGGCAACTGATTCATATTTATGACGGCTGCAGTGTCCCAGGATCATGTAGGAAACAGCTTTTGTGACCTTCTGACAAGCAAAGTCAATGGGGAAGCCAGATTCACTTAACAACTGTGTTAATAACTTAATTGCAATGATTCACTTAACTGTGGCAAGAAAGGTCATAAAATGGGACAAAACTCACTTAACAAATTTCACTTAACAACATACATTTTGGGCTCAACCGTGGTGGTAAGCGGAGGACTATCTTTACTTTTGTGCCTCTGGCAGGACTGCAGACATGCAACATACTAGAAGACTATTAGGAAAGAAGTCTCTGTTCTCTTTTCTCAAAACTCTTCAAGAAGTAAATTACGGTAGTCCTTTTTAGTAACTTTACTGGACACTTTCTCTCCTCCATTTTGAAAAAGTAGAAAAGCTTGGAAGACTAGTTTTATAAACACAGAGTAATATAGAAGTGAATATAAGAAAGATATCACCACACATAGCCATCTCCCACTACCTGAAGGAGCATTTAAAAATTCACTTCTTCCTACCAATACTTGCCATTCAAACTCCCAACTTCTTCTACTTCAACCACCTACCCAAATTACAGAATCTCTTTCAGCAATGGGAGAAAAATCTGTATCTGCTGAGAAAAGGGTGAGTAGGCATAAGGTGTACAATAACGCGCCCTTGCATGCAGGTTGGATACTTCTGCTGTGCACTTTCATGCATATTCGTCCTGCAAGAATCGGTAGGTGTCTCATGACTTTGTCGGATCCTGTTTTGGTGGAGGAGAAGTTGGAGCCAGGACCATCCAACAGGGAGGAAGTCTTCTCCAAATGAGTGGAGAGTCCAGAAGCTGAGGACAAGGCAGCTCCAGGGCCGTCTGGCAGGTGAAGGGGGGCAACCTGATGGGGAGCCTCCTGCAGGAGAAGAGCTGCTGTAGGGGGTCAACAGAGATAACAGGCTCCAGACCATCTCTGACGAGGAACACCTGCCTCTCCCACTGATCTGTCGACGAGGAGAACAGAGCAGAGAGGGGCACAGAGGAGGTCAGTGAGGTTGCTTGCAAGGAAGCAGCCCCAGCCTTTCTCACAAGGAAAGCTGGGAAGAGTAATTTAACCAGATGCTGAGGAAGATGTGTTTGCCGGGAACAATTCTTTGTTTTGATGTGCTTCTTCCTGGCTTCCCTGGATCCTGTTCCTTGAACTTTGGAGTTGGACTTGACTCTCAGACTTCGGACTCTTAGACTGTGTTTTGATTGCTGGAACTTTGGACTTGTTGGTATTATTACCTCCCTCTTGCCTCATGGGTCAACTGGGACTTAGTTTGTGAACCCAGACTGAGGGAAAACTGAGGGCTGGGGCAGAGCATCATTGGCACCATCCTGGGTTGTTTGTCACTGTGATAAGTGAGCAATAAATGGACCCTCCTGAACTTCTGCCTTGCCCATGTGACTTGGGTTAGAACATGAACTTTTTTGGATTAAGCAGGGGTCCTCAATCTTGGCAACTGGGAGTTGAAGTCCACAAGTCTTAAAGTTGCCAAGGTTGAGAACCCCTGGGATAAAGGATGCCTTTATCTCTGGCACATTGGGACTTCTGACACTCAGATGCTTGACATGAGCACCTTTTATGTTACATTCATGAGAACCTGCCGCTATTCAAATGTTTCTCAAATCTCAAGTGGAACAATGAATACTTACCATAAATGACTAAGACAGCTATGATGAGGAATGTCAAGCATTTCACACAGTTTGCCATAGGATTTTGGTTTCTGAGGAGGAAGACAGGATGATTAGATGAAAGTCAATGGACGGAACAATTCTTAGAAATTGCAAAGGAAAAGAATAGGAATATTGATAATAGTGAAGGATACCCCAGGGCATTATTGGTTCCCTTCCTAACCAGAGAGGTTTATTAACAAGTCATTCTGAGGATTGCTGCTACTTCATGTCTTTTTCTCTCTCATCTCTTCCTTGCTTGATGTCTGCCATAAAACAATGCATGATGTGATGTCATCAAACAGGGTGTTTCCTCAGCCTCCTGTGCCAATGGTATCACATCATGCATTATGGCTATACTAGCTATTGCATGAGAAAGGGAGCAAACACCTAGGAAGTTGAGTATATTGAGTTCAACCAGTTCAGCACCATTTAAGTTGTTAGTAGCATTATTAGATTTTACACAGGGGTCTTTCCCAGACCGGACATGCAGAGACAGAGGTGCAAATTGCCTGCATGTAAAAGAAGTCATTTTCTCCTAAGCATCAAATTCTAGGCAATGCTCAGATTATTACATTGCTTGACCTTAGCTGGTTCTTACTTTCTTAAGCAAAGGGAAGAGGCTACTGGAATAAATTAGAATAAGATCATCATACAGAATGAATGGATTGATATGACATAATATTGTCAGTTTTTAAGGTGGACAAGACTAAGAAACCAAGACCATATACATTTGGATGTTTTATTGTAAAGCTATACTAACATAATCTTGTAAGTCAATGTGCTTCCTCCTCCTTCATTTTGTCTTCTTGTGACCTGGGAAGGGACCTGCCTGAGATGTATTCTCACATTATTTTCTTGACCTGGGCTCAAGCCTGTTTACCTAACTATTGCCTTCGTAGTGACTCTATTTCCTATCTTTCAAGGACATTCCCTCTGCCCTCCACATATCTTCACCGACTGAGAGCAATCCAAAACTATATAGAAAGAGGCAGCCATGTTGACAGGTGGAGGGCAAATGATGAAATATGTATCATCATGCAAGCCACATGACTTTTGCATTATCCCGTGATTTTGGGGAGTATGAAAGGCCAAGGTTTGCATCATGACACATATTTGTCCTTTGTATATTATCATGGTCTGCTCTGGATGCATACAGATTTTGAATTATTGGGCCATTATTCAGTCTAAAATCAGATATCTTGATGTGTAAGGCATATCTTTTATGCAAACCTAGAACCTAGGAGAAATTTCCTAATGGTGAGAACAATCAACCAGTGGAATGGCTTGCGTTCAGAGGTTTTGCAGCCCCATCGCTAGAGGCTTTTAAGGAGAGACTGGACAGCCATTTCTCTGAAATGGTGTAGGAGCAAGAGGTTGGACTAGAAGACCTCCAAGATCCCTTCCAACTCCTGACACATGCTTGCTCTAGATATCCATAGCACTTTACACTGCTATCATCTCTATGCTACCATCTCTATGTTCAGAGTTAAAAAAAAATTCTCAGAGACCCTACAGTCCTTAGCCCACCTCAAAACTTCGTATTACAAACACATTGCTTTCTAGGGCCAATAGTGTCTTCCCCTTTCTAGACAGCAAATGTGAACATCACTGTTGTTTCTTAAAAAATGTAGTGATAAATCATAGAATGAGTAAATGATTGTGAATTAAGCCTCTCAGCAATTAGACCTCATTATATAGCTTTGGTACCAAGATTCTGCTCAGTAACGGACCTGAGTAGTAGCATGATGCGAGCAGTTAACCCCAATTTTATTTCTCCCTCTTTACTGTTGATTTTGCTCTGCATCTACCTACTGCTTAGGCTTGGTAACTTCCAGAGGTATTACCATTCATTGTTCAAGGACGGTAAATAAAATCCAAGTGATTGCAATAAAATTGGTGTAAACTAGGAAAAAGTTGAAATGTTAAGCTAAATCACAGAATGTAGAAGAGTTTGCTCTTCTAGACCTCCTGCCTCTGGGATTATACTTTAACCAGCTCCTAACAAGATCAGGGAGAGGAAGGGGAAATAAACCAGAATTGTGGCTAGGCATAGAATGAGCTCAGAAGCATGTTAAGGTCACACATTTGAGACATGGAAAAGCAGAAGAGAGAGGGAAAGAAAAAGAAGAGTGGTTGAAAACCAGCAGGAGGATCAGCAGAAAGACTATTTGTGAATAAGCAGTAAAGGAAGAGATAACACAAGCCTCATCTTTCTTCCTACAAGTAATGGAGGCGAGAGTTTGAAGCCATCCAAAGGCTTCAGAGGGTATCTCAGCCGGTGTGGGTAGAACAAGGTTGACAATTTTCACCACCAGAGAAATCACCCAGTAAGCTGGCTGGAGGAGATTTGAGATTTGGAGAATCTGAGAGAAGAGGGAATTGAATTTAGAGGGAGGGATTTAGGATCAGGAAGAGAGTGAGAGAGGAACTGTAAAGGAGATGTTGCAGAATCTGTTACTTTTAGAGTCAAGGAAGGGAGAAAGTTAATTGCAGGGTAATTAAATGCATAAAATGCTTCATTAAAATGCAATAAAATAGTGGGATATTTCATAAACTTAAAAATAATACATTATTATAATGTATAACATGGATTTATAAACAAGTAACATAATTTTATTTTAATATTTAAAGTACGGAAAGTGTATTAAGACAATTAAAATAAGAAACGTGTGAGGGTAACAGCTCTTCAGCCCAGGGCTCCCAGGGCTTCATGGACCAGTACTGGGTTGTGGCATGCCAGCAACCGGTCCGCACAAACAAGCAAAGCCCATCCACGGGATGCAGGCAGCACACAAAACCATGCCCCCTCTGGTCCGCAGAAAAACCACTCTCCACTGAACGGGTCCCTGGTGCCCAAAAGGTTGGGGACCTCTGCTTTAGCCTATTTAAAGTCTTCCATGTCAAAACACATCAAATATTTGATATTTCCAACCTCTACCCCACCCAAGGTAGATCTTCTGTAATGGAGACTATCAGATGCAAAGTTAGCTGTCTTGATTTTGATTTCTTTCCAAAGGAGCTTTTGAACATTTTTACATTGCTACTTACCTTGCACAGCAGCAGGATTGTAAAAGTTTTCGAAGAAAGCAGATAACAGAATATACAATAAGGCTGGGAATGCAGCATATGGTTTCTGTGAAACAGAACAATTCACAAAACATTTAAGCAGTTGGTTCATAAAATAATTGGGAATATACTTTTTTGTTCATCTGATCTGCTGAGGACAGTAAGTATGAAGATAATTAATACCTTCCTAGAAAAAAAAATTAAATAACACTGGTAAATTCACAATACAAACTCTTAGCAAATATACCAGTTAATATTATTTCTTGTATGCACCATGTATGCTATTGCTGTATATGATTCATCATGTCATCCTCATTCACCATGAGATATAGGATCAAATCCTATTTTAGTAAGTGGTGGGATCTAGTCAACATTAAAACCCAAAACAAAATGTTAGGTCGCGGTGAGATCTAGTTTTGCATCCCATTTTAACAAATAAGGCTCTCCAAATTACTGGTGTGCAGAATTATACAATGAAGTGGGTTAATCTGAATATCTGGATATAGCCAATCACTACTGACCTTAGGTGCAACCCAGCAGAGATTAGGTCTTCTTAAATCTTACTAAAATCAGAGGAACTTTTAGAATTAAATGTTTATTTCAGTTAGACTTTTTAAGATAATTTTCTTCTGGACTGTATCATAAGGGACTTTAATTTTAAATGTCCGCCAAAACTGTTGGTGGAATTCCTGAAATGAAATCCTACTCTTTAAAAAAATGGCATCTTAATAATATATTTTAAGACTTTCACACTAAGTCAGAAAATTATCATGTCCAGTGGGCAGCCTTAGAAATGGAAGTTTTCTGAGACACACTGTCCCTTTCTACATGTAGGAAGACATACAGTAGATGGGAAAGATAGATGGAGGTGGTCTCAAGTCTGTCATTCCTGCATCTACAGCTTACTATAGGTTTGGATGAGCATGTAACATTCTGTACTACAGAACTGGTACTGGGTACCACAAGATAAAATATAATAATATTTGACCCATCATGATATTCTAAAGTTGGAAGGTGTCTTGGAAGAGTAATTTCCATCCCTGATTGTAAGGCTGTCTAGCTTCTGCGTGGATAACTTTAGTTGTCAAATGCACATTTTAGGAATGCTGCAGAGGAAAGTGGAACTGCTAGATACATACTCAGCGTACTCCTTTCAGATGAAGCTGTGGAATTAGATGAGAACTGGCTATAGCAACTCTCACCGGCAATGACTTCTCTGGTAAAACCTCCTGCCAAAGAAAACTCATCTTATTATCCAGTCATCACTATCATCTATATCAGGGGTGTCAAACTCACAACGTCACATGACGTGTTGCGACGTATCGTGACTTTTCTTCCCATTGCTGGCAATGGGGTGGGCGTAGTTTCGCTATGATGCATCTGGCCTGTGGGCCGGCAGTTTGACACCCCTGATCTGTATCAATGATTACAGATTGGATTGGCAGCAGCTGCTCTGACTTCCATCTGCATCAATATATATTTCTACAATCTGCACAGTAGTTTCCTTTAGTTTCTATTCTTATGTCTAGGCCCTCTTGAATAGATCAGTTGCTAGAGAGAAGATATAAGGGGAACAGTAAAATTATGCATTGTCAAGCCCATACTGAAAAGCTTAACTCTTTAATGGATTTGTATATACTGTATAGATCTAAACTAGCAAAACGATTCAAGATGCAATCCTGACATATTTTTTTCTGGTTGTTTTTTTTAAAATCTCTGGCCTCTAATCATTAGTGGGTATTCAAAGCCTAAATATTTCTGGCACTTACGCCCATTTTCTTCTCCCTGATCGTAAATTGAAGACATCTGGCTAGATGAGGTAGTAGACGTCCTGGGGTCACCTCCTGAAGAATTAAGCAGGTACCAGCTGAAAGAAGAAGAGTTACAAATGATCGCCGATGCTCTACAAATGTACATGTTATGTTGGGGCACCATGTGTAATCACCGGTAAAAATACCAACCCTTTAGCGTTTAGCAATAGCACTTAAACTTATGTACTGCTTCACAGTGCTTTACAGCCCTCTCTAAGCAGTTTACAGAGTCAGCATATTGCCCCCAATAATCTGGGTCCTCATTTTACTGGCCTCAGAAGGATGGAAGGCTGAGCTAACCTTGAACTGATCAGGATCGAACTTCTGGCAGTGAGCAGTGAGTTAGCCTGCAATACTGCATTCTAACCACTGTGCCACTACGGCTCCTGATTAAAACTTTATTCATACTTTATAGCTGTAATTTGGAGGCTGCCTGAAATACAATACATTATCCCAATAATGATGTTCCTTAGTGTCCTTAGTGCCATCCATTGTGGCAACAAGGCATATTAAAATACTACAGTATTTGCTATTCCTAAATGTTGGTTCTAGCCTATGGTTTCCCAAACATGATGTACCTATCTTGGGCAGGTGCAGACAGAGTCCAAGGGAGGTGTGAAAAATCTTTTAACCCTGTTGTTACAATAAATCCATCTTTCCCAAAGTTTCATTGTATTGTTTTCATTGTTCATTTGTGTTCACGTTAATACAGTATCTGGACTATTAGGGGAGATGTGTACATTAAGATTATACTTTTTTCCAATATTTTTTTTATTTTATTCAAAAAATTAAAATGCAAAATACAAAGGGGGGAAAAATAACAAAAACAAAACAAAACTGGATTAAAACATTTAAAAAAAGATGTGAGTTAAAATGACAAAAAAGAAAAACACATATCCCTTCTATTGAGCACTGACAAATATATTGCAGCAATAGTTTTCTCCCTTGCAAAACAGGTTCTAGATTTATATACTTCTACATCTATTTGCAACCCAATTTGACCTGTCATACATTATATGTAAGAAGAAAAAATAGTTAACAATATGTAGGAGAAGACCAGGCTGAGGCTGAGGGAGGAGTCAAACACATCATAAGTCATGAGTCCCTGCGCATCCACAAGAGACCTAAGTGCAATTCACCTCAAATTCCTCTCTTATCTCTCACACATTTCCCTTAATGGTCAGTTGGCCAGATTCTTGTAAAGAGTTTACCCTTGCAATAAATCTTTATACTCCTTTATACTCATTTGAACTGCCTGAATCTCCTGATTTCCCAGTTGCTTGAAAAAGTTAATGAACAGCAAAGTTAAACTTCAAAGCCCTCTGTTAACAATAGGTTAACAATATGTTATTACAATTAATTTGATTTAAGGTTGTGCCATTAGATGGTATTGGGCACCCTCACACGCTCTAAGTCACTTTCCCCTCTTCATATCCAGATAACTCTTCATTCCAGTTTCTCAATATCATCTACATTGCTTTGAATTTCTTGCAGAATTTCTTGCAATTTCTTGTTACATACTATGAATAAAGATTTGTTTTGTTTGTTAACTTTATTTGCTGCCCATGTCATTGTGGAGTACTCTGGGTGGCTTACAATATTAAAATGGGGGGGAAATGATTAAAAATTTAAAAATTACAATAGCAAGGGAATGAAACAATAAACAATGGAAGTATAGTAACAATGGAAGTATGAAATTAAAAAGATGAGCAGAGGGGAAGCACAGAGGGAAGGTGGGGCCAGCAAGTTAGTCTAGCAAACACCTTCAGTGATGTACTTCCTTATTGGGCCAAGGTTGCCTACCCCTGCCCTAGGCCAACCGGGCAAGCCAAGTCCCTAGGCTCTTGTAGAAGGATAGGAGGATGGGGACAAACCTCACCCGCGGGGGCGGGGCGGGGAGGGAAGGGGCAGAATGTTCCAGAATGTTGGCGCTACAGCAGAGAAGGCTCTTCTCCTGGATCCATCAGTCAAAGTTCCTAGATCAACTTTTAAGATTTTTAAGAAATGCCAAATTCCATGTTCATCACACAGTCTATTGTTTTATTGGTAGATTTCTGTGGCAAATTCCAATCTCCAATGTTCTTCTTTTGAATGTTTACAGTTTTATTATATTAAGGTATATTTCAATATATGGCATGGGGTATCTTTTCATAGGTCCTTTTTATCTTATGCAAATAATGTTATGGCATCTGCTACTCCTACATTCTTTTGAATGTACTATTCCTAGGAAATCCTCTCCATCACTGTTCGCTAACTGAGTCATTGTCCAATGGCTCATTGCAGAAGATTGAGGAGTTTGGTTTAAAAAAAAAACATTTATACTTTGCCAGGGGTAGGCAACCTTGGCTCTTTTATGACTCGTGGACTTCAACTGCCAGAATTCCTGAGCCAGCCATGATAGCTCAGGAATTCTGGGAGTTGAAGTCCACAAGTCATAAAAGAGCCAAGGTTGCCTACCCCTGCTTTGCTTAGTGATATGGCCAGGCTAGTTTGGCCCAGATGCCAAACTATGACAAACTAAATATGAATCCTAAAGTGCACTGAAAACTTCCTTATTGTTGTATGGCACAGTGGAAAACAGATACTGGCACCCAGGCCTTTTGGCAGCTTATCTTTGGTTATTGTCCTCCTCAGCAACTGATTTCTGGATATGACTGGGAAAATTCAGGATTTAAAGGAACACATTTGGAAACCCAGTGATGCAATTAGAGAATCATTTACAAGCAATTAATGAATTGCAGCAGCACATGTGCAATCATGTAGTCATTCATAATGTCTTCTCCATCTGTAGGAAGCTATACTGTACAATTGTAGCTGACTCGAAAATTGAGGGAGCGGTTGGTGGTGCTGGGGATTGAGGCCTCAAAACAAGAGCATTAATTTGAAGACGACTCTCCTAGATTCTTTTTCACAGATACATTTGTTACGTTGCAGTACCTAAATATAAATGCATGCATCCCTCTTACTTGTTTGTCTGGGTCTTGCCTGATCCTCTTGTTGCCCTGGTACTACTACCTTGCTCATTAGAGTTATCTTGAAAAGCTGGCGGTGCTTGAGCAGGACATCTTCGCACAGAGCGTTTCCCATCCATCACTGAAAGAACAGTGTGATAATTGGACGTATTTCGAAAGAATTGTGTTGGTTTCCTTCTTCTAATTTATACCAAAAAGTTACATGCACAAAAAAGCACCCTGCTTTCCATATGCATCAAAATAGCATCCATTCTGTCTTTCCAATACACTTCTGTGATGTGTGAAGATTATAACTGCCTGACCTCCAGTGTGTGATGTCATAATAGGAGGTCTACAGTGAGATAAATATGATCATCTCATGACATCACAATACGGCATATGATATTATCAGCAGGGAATTTTGTTCCTGTTTGCAGCAAATGTATGGTCACGTACTTCTCCATATTTATAGTGGCATTTTTTGGGTTAGCCAAATAGAAGCTGTGGCTCATGTTTCTATCACAGAAACATCAGTCTTTTAATCAAGTTATTTAGGGAAGGATCAGAAAGGAAGGGTGCATACAGTATTTTACCTCTGTTGCAAAACCAGGAATTGGTCCCAGATTCAGTTCTTGGCACTGCAGTGCAGATAATGTTTTGCTAAACAGATTAGGGATCCAAAGCAGCTTCCTTTGTTTCTAACCAGCCCCTTTTTCCAAAGTTGCTTGTTATAATCATCCTTTTGGCACAATCCACATAAAGTTTATGTTGTGGAAAGATCCAACAGTTACTACATTTTTTTCATATTAACAGATGATCACACTTTGTGCACCGTCTGTAATAGAAGTTGATCCACAAAAGCAGATCCCTGTGAATGCCTTTTTCCTTCATTGCGAGGAGACCTCAGTATGAAATCTGAGGACCCAAAGCTAAGGAGCTTTTTTTAAAATAACAAAAGTTATTGTCAGGTGAAGAAGGAAAACAAATGAGTTGAAGTGCTGGATATTTTCACTAGAGGTCAGTCTTACTTCATATTAAACAGCTGATGCGCTCTTGGATTATCCTTTCAGAGACACATATTTCCTTACTTAAATAGAGAAAGAGAATGAGGATGGGTGGGCAAAAAAAGGATTGGGAGCAGGAGTGACTTCCAACTTCCTGCTTGATTCCCCATTGATGTTACTTGTGGGAATCTGGCAGGGAGTTTGGAAATCATTCCTCTTCCGGTGATCAGTGAAATTGTGAGGAAAACTGTACCCCTACTCTCCGTCCCAGCATGTCCATAAGGGCCCCCTCTCTTTAAGGAGGAAGGGCTCACCCATCAACCTCTGGCGCTCCCCAGAGCTTCTGAGTCTTTCTCTCATCCTTACTTCACCTCCTTCCTTCATCTCCATCATTGTTATTTCAATTGTCAACCTCGGTTCCAAGGCAGCCAACTGCCATTTGCCTATCCACCAGCTGATTGGATGCAGAGGGAAGAGGGAGGTGGGAAAAAAGGTGAAGATACAGTCCTCCCATCCTATCTTGCAACATGCAGCCCATGGGTTTCTGGGAAGTGTAGTCAGAAGGCGTGGTGGCACTGAGGTGACACCTTTCCCAAACTTCATTCGTAAGTGCTGGATTTCTGTAAATTAGCTCATTTGAATTACTTTGGTTCAATAATTGTTGTCTTATACCTTCCAATTGAAAGTTACAAAGAGACATGAGAGAATATAGATATACCATAGCACAGGGGTCCCCAACCCCCAGTCCATGGACCGGTATGGACCGTGGCATGCCAGCAACCAGTCTACACCAACAAGCAAAGCCCCATCTGCGGGATGCAAGCAACACACAAAACCATGCACTCTCCGGTCTGTGGAAAAACCTCTCTCCACATAACCGGGCTCTGGTGCCCAAAATGTTGGGGACCTCTGCCATAGCACATCCCCACAGATAAAGCTGCAGAGAATCATAGCTTCCCAAAGCAAAAAGTATAGGGCATTTTTGCTCTCTTGCCATTTTGCTGCTGTGTTATCTAGGCAGCCTTGATTTTGCAATAACAAAAAGCTATAAGATTGTATGTTTGAATGTGTCTATCATTGGACAGTAAGTTCTTCCTTCCTTGCTCAAATCATGGAGCCTCTCGAAGACTAAAACATTGCATTATAGCATACACTTTAGCAGGGCTTTTTTTCTCATAGAACGCCCAGAATGGAGTTCCGGCACCTTTTTTGGATGGAACCTTGTAGGGTAGGCAAGGCGGGTTGTATGACGTGTGTGAGTTCCGGCATCTTTTTTTTTTTTTTTTTAGAAAAAAAGCACTGCACTTTAGAGACTCAAGACAACTTCACCATTCATGCTAATCAAGGAGTGAGGAAGATCTAATTAAAATAATTTCTTTCTGTTTGGATAATTCCAGTATTACAAATGCAACACATAATCATAGCAGGTTCTACCACCTCCTTACCATACATATTCACAAACAAACATGCATGTATATGCAGTACTGTATTCAAAAATGTTAACTCAAACATGAGCTCCACGTGATGGATAAGAGGATATGGGGAGAAAAAGCAGATCCCAACAATGATCTAGGGATTAATGCTTATATCCTCATACTGGCCCTAGTTCATTTCCCACATCTATTTAAAATGTGGTGTTCCACCTTTAAATCCCTTCAAAAGCTACAAGAGCAATGAATATCATAAGGATTACATATCTTTATATATAGTGACCATGTACGGTGACCATGTCTCCATATCTTCATCAGAGGACCATCTCTGGATTCTCTGCCAACTGAACTATATTTATTTGATTTTTTAAAAATAATTTCAACCTTTATTAACTTTATAAGTAATTCAAGGCAGCAAACATACCTAATAATCCTCCTATTTCTTCCATAACAATCCTGTGAGGTGGGTTGGGCTGGGAGAGAGTGACTGGCCCAAGGTCACACAGTCATACCAGAACTCACAGTCTCCTGGTTAGAGTTCTAGGCCAGTACCTTAGCTACTACACCAAACTGACTCTCTCATCTCTACTGAATGATTTCTGGGAAAACCATTTCCTGAGAGACTAATGTTATGAGTGCCTGCTGGAGATGTTTTCATTTGCTCATGTAGATTAAACATAGGTGGTTGATTTGTCTTCTCTCAGGCTCAGTCCTAACAATGTTAGTCAGAAGCACATGGACAGAGACAAATTCTTTGCTACTTATACACTAGTGAGTTATAAGACCTTAGGATATCATCCAGCCATTGCTGTGGCAATGTATCACTAATAAAGGCAGATTTCATATTGGCAGAGCAGTAGCTTAGTGACGCTGTATAGTGTTAGAATGGCTTTTGTGGGATAACGCCTATTCTTCACTTTTAAGGTGAAATGTCATACTAAGCAGGAATCAATGAAAACTCTTTCGGCAATCTGTAGTAAATTGGTAATAGTATTATGGTCCTAGGTATTGGACAGTAGCAACAAAAGTAGGTTTTTCCCCCTGAAAAATAGGCTGATGAACATACAATTGATGAAGAAATAGGATATTGGTTTTAATGCCTCTCGGTCTTGGTGCTAAATGCAAACATTGGGCTTGAACCAAGATGTATTCACATATATCCCAGCCTTTGGATGAAGGGCTTTGAAAAATTTTTGAAAAATAAGCAATATGGGTACTGCACTTTAAATACAATGAAATCTGTATCTTAATAAAGAGACGTTAGAAAGTATAATGAGAGCAGAGATGCTTACTCTTAAATAAATATTTTGCTAGATTAAGATTGCACTAATTTATACAGTGATAAGCACCTGCTATAAAATGCTGTAGTATGATTTCTATAGAATATAGTATATGTTCTTCCTTAACCTTGGGTGAATTAATGAAGGACCGGATAGTTTAAATTAATAAATATTTCACCTCAGAAAATAGTTCATTTAACATAGAGAAGGGCAATTTGTGACAACATTCAGAGGTGACGTATGTCCATGAAATTTGGAAAAAAAAGTGATTTTACTAAATAGAATACTTTAATGCACGGGGAGAAAAATAAATGCTTTGGAACGATTCTTGAATATAGGGGCTGTTTAATATTAATTTCCCCCCATTTTAGCATTATAGTCAGAATGGATGCACATCTGAGCAGCCCAAATTACAGCAAGCAATGGATCGTCAATGTTAAAAATTGCACTTCTGTACAGAATCAGGAATATGAACTGAAATGTGTAAAATTAAATATTAGTTATAAAATATACACTGTAGATAGATGCAGTATTTATACATTCTGAACAATATATAAATTTTAAATCAGATAAAACCACTAAAGAAATTATGGGAAATATCTGGTCTGCCTTTAGAAAGTAATTATCAAGGCTGTAAGTTCATGTTTATTAATCATTCACACCCAATTATTCCTTTCATTTTTTGTTCTCTAGAAAGATCCTTTGATGGCTTCCATTTTATATTTTTTTACAAAATAAAACTAATTAGATGGGTAAAGGATGGAAGCTTTTCAAAAACCTCTGTGTTTTTCCATTGATTATGAATTTCATCTGCATAAATAAAACATCCTTGGTGGTAAGAGCTGAGCAACCTGGCATTTCAAGCGTTGGGTTTCTCTCTGTTTTCTCTTGTTCCTATCCTTGCTAGCTAAACCAGGCCAGATTTTAGAGGGAAGGATTGTTTGTGCACAGATTTGTAACTCAACATCCCTGTCTGAAAGTGGTGGTCATTAAGCAAGCCCATTCATTTGATTGGACTTTTTTTTGCGTGAAACCAACAAAAAAATGCCAGAAACTGGCATAAAACCCCCCATTGTGAATTGTGACCATGCAACCACGGAATGCCACAACTAGTTGACCTGCCCAACCATGGGGGCGGGGAACAGGGTGATCATTTACGATGGCCAGTGGTGCTTTATGGGCCGTAAAGTACCAGTTCCGTGACTATTGTACCACTAAAGCAGGGGTCTTCAAACTTGGCCCTTTTATGACTTGTGGACTTCAACTCCCAGAATTCTTCAGCCAGTGTGCCTGGCTGAGGAATTCTGGGAGTTGAAGTCCACAAGTCATAAAAGGGCCAAGTTTGAAGACTCCTGCTCTAAAGCATTATAAAATGATCAATCATTAAGCAAGGACTACCTGTAAGCTATTCTTAAATCCCCAATGAAAGCCTGATGCAAGGACAATTGAATCTCTACAGTTCCAGAGAAACTTCACTGCTACTCAGAAATATCCTTCAGGTATTGAAGAGGGATTTGAGTTGTGTTAGATCGCGCAGGCAGTAAGACACGAGTCGAGTGACAGTCAGCTCTTGGTTTATTGGCAAGGCATAAGGTAAATCCGGACTGGCTCTCTGGGCCAGGGGAGCCCTCTTTTATGGGATTCCCCTGGCTTGTAATCACACAATTCCATTGGCTGGCAAGACCCTGTTGCTAGTTAGCCAACCAGCAACGGGCAT